ATGTCCGAGTGGTGCTTGTCCGAGGGCTTGTAGCCGTGCCAGCCTTCGATGACGAGGTCCATGAGCTCCTTGAAGGTCACGTACGACTCTTCGTCGCCAGCGACAATGCCGACGCCAAGGTGCGGCGTGTCGATGCCGGTCTGGATCGCTTGGTCCAGCGTGTAGCCGGACGCCGTCGCGCGACCCGCGAGCTTGTGGTAGATCTCAGGCGTGAGGTTCTTGGCCATGAGCGACCGGTGCTTCGGCGACAAGACCGGGTAGTTGTTGTACTTGGGCTTGGCGTCTTCAGGCGACTTGAGGCCGAGGTCCTGCTCAATGGCACGAAGGCGCAGGGCGATCTCCTGCAGCGCCGAGTGCGTCGACGCGCTCTCGGTCGCGGGGCGGTGGAGGCCGCCGGCGATACCGAGCGTGAAGGCGCCGACGCCGGCGACGACGTGGGCGTTGCTGCGAAGGGCTTTAGCTACAATACGAAAAGCGCATAAGATCTCATTGGTGACGCGGCGGCGTACCAAACATGTTGGGATCGGAGAGCTAAACTGCGAATGCGAGATCTTGTGGTCGAGGCGGAGGCGATCTTCCAGCAGGCCCAGCGATGCGGATTGGTCAAAATGAAAAGATTGCACTCATGGAAATCATCGTTTCCACCAATCGTAGCGCTGGCTACTCAAAGTCTTCGCGACGCAGTATCTAGCGAAGCGTCGTCAGGGCCGCAAGGATCTTGAAGGCCGCAGAAGGTCCGCGCGCCTTCGGAGCAACAAGCGCAATCTGTTCTGAAGTCATTTTCTGTGTTAAAAATGATGGAGTAACCTACATACTATCCAAATACGAGACGTCTATGCGCCGCCCTTGCCGCGGAAGGCACGGACACCCTTGCCCAAGCCGCCGCGGCCGTTCATGCCCATGCCACGCATACCCTGGCCACCCATGGCTGCGCTCATGGGCGCACCGCCGGGGCCGCCGGGACCAGCCTGGGGCTGCTCCGACTTCGGGTTCCGGACCGTCTCGTCGACCGAGAGGATCAAGCATGCAGCTTCCGTGGCGGCAGCGACCGAGTTGATCTTGTTGGCCGCGGGTTCCCAGACGTGGGACGCGTATGTGTCGCAGATGCCGCCCGTGTTGATGTCGACGCCGAACCACTTGCCCGTCTCGGGTTCCTTGAAGTGCTTTTGGCGCAGGCGGTTCAAAATGTCGGTCGAGTCGTGGCCGGCGTTGTCCGCGAGCTGGCGCGGGATGATTTCAAATGCCTTGGCAAAGGCGTTGATCAAGAGCTGCGCCTTGCCTTCGACCGTGCGCGCGTACTCGCGCAAGTGACGCGACATCTCCATTTCGATGGCGCCACCACCAGCAACGACCGTCGACGACGAGACCGTGCGCTTGACGACCATGAGCGCATCGTGGACGGACCGGTGGGCTTCCTCGATGAACTGCTCGGCGCCGCCGCGCAACACGAGCGTCGCACTCTTGGACTTGGGGCACTCGGTGAAGAGGTTGTAGCGCTCGTTGCCGACCTGCTTCTCCTCAAAGACGCCGCAGCTGCCCAGAACGTTGGGCGTCATGTCCTGGACGCTCGTCTGGATGACACCGCCGGTCGCGCGCATCGTACGCTCCATGTCGTCCTGCGCAACACGGCCGGCACAGAACAAGCCGCGGTCGGCAAAGTACTGCGTGGCCAAGTCACCGATCGGCAGCTTGGACAAGATGATCTGGGCGCCCGACTTGACGCACTTGTCGAGCTTGTCGTAAATGATGTTCCACTCGGCGTCGACAATCGACTGGTACTGCGACGGGTCATCAAGGCGGACTTCGGCGTTCTCCTTCTCCGACTTGAGTTCCAACTCGACGTTAAGAAGCAGGATCTTGGGGTTCTTGAAGTACTTGGGCATCTGCTCGAAGCCGGCGTACGAAAACGTCTTCTTGAAGGCGACACCTAAAATTCATGCTTATCAGCGCGTGCAATCACATAGCATGGAGTCGTACCGCGAACCATAAACGAGTCCGTGACGGAGCCACCGGGGACCTTCTTGATACCGACCATCGTGATGTCCATGTCGGTGTCAAGGCTCAAGATCGAGTCGACAACCATCGGCGCGAAGAAGCCCTTCTGCGAGCTAATGAGCTTCGAGTTGAGCGCCGTGCCGGCAACACGCTCCAACATTTGACGGTAACCAACAGAGTCCGTTTCCGAGACGCGGACCTGGATGTCGCGAATCTTCTGGACGGCCAACTGGCAAGCCTTGCGGTAGCTCTTGATGATCGTCTGCGGATGCATGTTTTCCTCAACGAACGGCTTGGCCTGCTTGAGGAACTCGCCGCCGAGCAAGACAACCGACGTCGTACCATCGCCAACTTCAGCATCCTGCGAGAGCGAGATGTCGACCAAGGTCTTGGCCGCCGGGTGCACGATGTCCAAGAGGCCCATGATGGTGGCGCCATCGTTCGAGATCGTCGTCTTCGTGCCCTTGTGGATGAGCTTGTCCATACCACGGGGACCGAGCGTCGTGCGGACGCTCTCCATCACGGCCTGGCACGCGTTGATGTTGCTAATGAGCTGCGACTTGCCCTGGCTCGTGTCGGTCCCTTCCTTGAGGAGGATAATTTGCGGTTGCTACGCAGCGGATGCATGAGCTTCGATCGTCGACCACAGGAAGCGGGCGCATGCAGCCGGCCCATCCCGCGAATCTCCATGGGAACAAGAAGGGAAGTTCCCATGGACGCGCGGGCTGACAGCGGCGCGCTTCCTCGGCAGCAGGGACTTACCATCATCATGGTTGCTCTTGTCTCGACGGGCCTCCAAGCAAATGAAGTCTTTTGAGTGGACAAGTTGTGGAAATCGGCGATTGAACGGATTTATAAAAATACACGGAATGCCTTTTTATTTTCCCCATAAACAATTTATACCTAAGAGTGCATATGCCTACAATCTATTTTTTTACGGAACGACGACCCATTCAAAGTATTGATTAAAATTCGTTTCAAAACTAGGGCCGAGCGAGCCCCCCAGCGGCATCGAATCCAGCGCTGTGATTGGCTAAAAATCTAGAATTTCGACGGCGCCAAATCCCGCGTTTTGGATCTTGATGCACTGTCGATGCAGCCACGTGACGAGATCAATCTTGCTTCTGAGACCGACCATCCCTGCCATTTTCAACGAGGTTTTAAACGAAATATAGTTCAGCATTGTCTGGTTCATCACCAGATCCCGTCCGCCAGACGCGTTTTCGTTTCCTCTGTTCGCGCCAACCAACCGCCTCATCGAACAATAGGAAGGAGCGCTGGTTTGCCGCGCCACTTTTCCATTTGCACTTTCAACCATGTTTGGTACATTCCACATGACATCTCCCACCGCTCACCAAATTCTCTAGCCAAAGCTCTGCGCAGCAACGCCCACGTCGTCGCCGGCGTCGGCGCCTTCACGCTCGGTATCGCCGGCGGCCTACACCGCCCGGCTACGACCAGCGCCCCCGCGGCGCCGATCACGCTTGAAGAAATCGCAACGCGACTTCGCGCCATCGAGCACGACCTTGGGCTCAAGCCCGTGGAGGCTGAAGACGCCAAGCCCAAGTACAACAACTACCCGGTCTTGTCGCCGAAGCACCGGTCGCTCATGGCCAAGAACCTCACGCCTGAGATCTACCACAAGCTCGCGGGTCGCGCGACGGCGTCCGGCTACACGCTCGACCAAGCGATCCAGACCGGCATCGACACGCCGCACCTTGGCGTCGGCATTGTCGCTGGCGACGAAGAGTCGTACGTGACCTTCAAGGAGCTCATGGACCTCGTCATCGAAGGCTGGCACGGCTACAAGCCCTCGGACAAGCACCACTCGGACATGGACTACACCAAGATCAAGAACGGTGACATTCCGTCGTCGTACGTCGAGTCGACACGCATCCGTGCTGGTCGCAGCGTCCGCGGCCTCGCGCTTCCGCCGGGCACGTCCCGCGGCGAGCGCCGTGAAGTCGAGCGCGTGCTCTCCAAGGCTCTCGGCAACCTCCTTGGCGATCTCCGTGGCAAGTACTACCCGCTGAGCAAGATGACCAAGAACGAAGAACAGCAGCTCATCGACGACCACTTTCTCTTCCAGAAGCCCGGCGGCGGCACACTCCTCACGAACGCGGGTGCGGCGCGCGACTGGCCCGATGGCCGTGGCATCTTCCACAACGACCAAAAGACGTTCCTTGTCTGGGTCAACGAGGAAGACCACATGCGCGTCATCTCGATGGAGAACACGGGCAACGTCAAGAACGTCTTTGAGCGCTTCTGCCGCGGCGTCGCCGACGTCGAGAAGGTCGTCAAGGCCGAGGGCCGCGAGTACATGTACGACGACCACCTTGGGTTCATCTGCACGTGCCCGTCCAACCTCGGCACGGGTCTTCGCGCCAGTGTCATGATCAAGTTCCCCAAGCTCTCGGAGAACTCGGACCAGTTCTACGCCCTCTGCGATGCGCTCGGCCTCCAAGCGCGCGGCGCCAAGGGCGAGCACTCGCCGCCAGGTCCTGGTGGCGTCTATGACGTCTCCAACAAGGCGCGCATCGGCTACTCCGAGGTCGAGCTCGTGCAAACCATGATTGACGGTATCTGGAAGCTCATCGATCTCGAAGAAGACCTCAAGAAGGGTCTCTCGATCCAGAAGAAGGTGGCGGCGCTCGGCGTCAAGGTCACCAAGGGCGGCCATTAAGCGACCGATGCGTCTCTCCGTCGTACGACCACTTGGTAAAGGGATCCACAATACAGAGACGTCTCTTGGTCATCCACGTGCTACATGGAGTCGTGTGGGTACGCCGAGTCGTGTGGGCTGCAATGAGTGACGTGGCCGTGAGAACGTCGATGGGTTGCGTTATAATTCACACCAGGGAACTCGTCTACTGGACTGAGCAAGACGGCAATGCGACGTGAACCGCCATGTCGTCGACGGCGAATGCAGCGCAGAGGGTCCAAACACAGACGCGCATGGCTCCGTGCTTAGCTCCATCAGGATGTAGTATACGTCAACGAGATCTGGGGAAGGGTCGTAACGGGGAGCGGTTTCGACGACCACGGTGTCGGCAATACAGATCGCATGGGTCAGAACGTGAGCCAAGTTCGGCGTCGACTACAAGGCGAGCCACTGCCGCGAGAGGAGGCAACAGATAGGTCCCTGCCCGACCCCGTCACCCTCCTCGAGACGAACAAGGCGCCGCTCTTCATCGAGGACTACGACGCCCCCAACGCCGACTGGAACCGCGAGACGCTGTACACGTACGCCAAGCGGCTCTGCGGGGCATTACCCGAGTCCGAGGTCCTTGCATCCGCTTCTTTCGCGTCGTCTCACGCTGCGTAGACGGAGCGGCGAAAACGGGCCCAGCGCCACGCCTCGTTTGTCCCTGGCATCCACAGCGACATCCAGTACGCCGATGACTCGGATGCATACGCGTCATGCTTGCTGTACGTAGCTTTTCGCACCAGCACCAGCAAAGCGTCCCGGTCCTCGTGGCCGACGCGGCCGTGCGACGCCTGCAAATCTTCATGCGCCGCGCCAATTACCGGCGGCGCTGGCGCGCGATCGTCGATACGCTCGTGCATCGGCTGCGCGAGCAAGCGCAGCTCGAGCGGGCTTGCGCTGAAGAAGCCGTGATGCTCGGCAAGTTTCGCGACATTCTGCTTGGCGGCTTCTCGGCTGCCAAGGTCTCGGCGCGCGGCAACCTCAAGAACATAACGATGCGCCTCGTCGTCGACGCCGATGCGTGCTACTTGACGTGGACGCCGTCCGTGAAGAAGACGCCGCGACTCTATATCCGTGCGTCCATCGCCTTCTGTGTGTGTTGAGATATCATTGTCGCATACGCTGGGTAGACCACATTGATCGCGTCGTTGCCGAAGCGAGAACATCCACGTCCCGTCGCGGCTCTTGCGCCACATTAGCTACCGGCGATCGCTCGTCATCTACGGCACGCTGCCGCATCTTACGGCGCTGCCACTGCGCACGATTCTCCAGGTCGGGTCGTCCAAGGAGCGCGATCTTCTCGTGCGCGGCTTCTCGCAGTTTCTCTCCGACTCGGTCTTCCAGACGTTCATGGACGACGCGGGCGTGCTTCGAAAAGACAAGCGGCGCGCGCCGATCACGTACTTTAACCCGACGCCCGTGGAGACGACCGACCACCTCACGGCCTTGGAGCGACTCGAACGCGCCGAGATTCGCCAGCGCCGCGGCCGCGTCTCGTGCTTTGCGACCCACGAACCGCAGGAGGAATATGGTGACGAAGACGATATTGACAGCAACACTGTCCATCAAAGCGACTTTGTGCTAAGCGACGACGACGAGCAGCCTGAGCCGGACCGGTCGCGGTCGGACCACAGCGACGACGGCCTACCCGTCCACCCCCACCCCACCCCCACCAAGAATGCCAGTGCGGATTTGGAGGAGAAGGCACCACCGCCGCTATTGCAGTACTATGCGACGCGGTACGACGAGATGGAAGTCGCGCCGGGCGTCGTGGACCACCGTCCGCGGCCCGTGCACCAGCAGGCGCACCTCGAGAAGGAAGAAGCGTCGCTGGCCTATTTATTCGAGAGCCTGCTCTCGCAATAAGAAACGATATCATATTACGACGGACGTGTTAGTCGGTCTTGCGGAGCTTTGTGGACGGAAACCCGAGGCGCAGCGAGGCCATGTGCGGCGGGTGCAGCGGGAAAAGCGCGAGCGGCAGCGGCCCAAACACTTGGCGCAGATTGCCAAGTACGCCGACGTAGTAGTAGTTGACGTACCCGACCTCGTCGCGCTTCTCGCAATACTCGAGCGTCGTCATGTTGCTTGCCGCGAGGTAGAGATGCATCGCCAGAAAGCATGTGAGCGCAAGGCCGACGCAGACGCTTGCAAAGCAAACCAGCACGATCTGGCAGTGCGCCGACGTCAGCGCGAGCTGCCCGAGAAGAAAGTCGCTGCTGAGCTCGTCCATAGCACTCGGCACTGCGTGCGCGTACAAGAGGCTCGCCTCCACGAGGCACGAGACCGCACTCCAAAAGAGGAAGAGCACGAAAAACTTGTAGTTCTCGAGGCCAATGCACCTACGAGCGAGAGAGAGGATCATGAGCGATTGCATCCTGCATACATCATGTCAAGCAACAACTTGTTAAGGAAGACGCAGTGGTGGTCCATCTTGGCAATGCACGCGTTGCACGAGCTGCAGTGGTGCGTGCGGTCGGGCTTGGGCAGGTCGCACTTGCGGCAAAAGCGCTTCTCGCCATTGTACTTGAGCTCGACGACGCCAACGGCGCCATCAAGTCGCTGCAAAAGCGGGCTCTCTCTCGCAAAGACGGACGCGGTCATCGTGCGGCCGAGCGACGCGCCAAGCAGAAGGACGCAGAGCTGGTACAGCAGCGCGTGCAGCAGCGGGACGCGGGCTAGACCCCGCGGGTTGAAGACAAAGCACGTGTAGAGCCAGAGTATGAGGAGCCCAATCGCGCACGGAAGGAAGAGCCGCATGACCTTGGGCATCCCCTTGAGGCAGCCGCACCAGCACATGGCGCCGTAGTATCAATTAATGCCGCCTTTTAGTCGATGCCCGTTTACACACAGCATCGTTTAGTCGCTTAGTCGTTTAGTCGCTTCCAACGGCCGTCGAGGGCCGTTTCGAGGCGCTGGTAGGAGTGTCGTTGCAAGATGGACGCACGCTTCAAAGACAAGAGCTGTGTCGCGGCGAGCGTGTCTTGATGCGCAAGCAAGGACGATTCGAACGGATACGGAATGCTCTCTATGTAGTTAGTCGATTCGATACTGTAGTCGATGTGTGCACGTGGCCTTTGCTGGCTCGCGCCGATTGGCTATAATTCTGGCCCTTTCGGTGTGCAGTTTTTGATTTCCACCAACGCGAATGCACAGTCGATCCGGGTTCGGGACCAAGATGGCGAACCGAAGCGCGGCCGACCGCGCGGCCCTGTACAATCGCCTCTCGGTACGTCCTCCCGCTTGTGTATGGCGCTGGCCTCTGGCGACGCCCGCGCAGAGGCTGCCCATGGCGCTATCGAAGAGGCCTAAGGGCTCAGCGCCGGCGTAGAACACTCCAACGTCCAACAGCGCGACAACCGAGCAGACGCAGCGGCTTATGGAAGACCAGAACGACGAGAAGATCGATCAATTATCTATTCAGATTGGCACGCTCAAGGACGTACGCACCCTCCACCCTCTTTATCGATTGATGCTCACATCTAACGCGTACGATCAACAACCAAGTGACCGAGGACAACCGATTCCTTGGCGACATGGTACTCTCCTCGAGACAGGGTCCATCATCCGTTACGAATGTATAGGACCGCGCCTTTAGCAACACCGAGTCGCTCATGGGCGGTACGCTCAAGAAGCTCGGGACGATGATGGAGCAGGGCGGGCCCAAGCACATGTGCATGCTCATCACGTTCGTCGTCGTCGTCTTTGTGCTCATGTATCTCCTCATGACGGGCAAATACTGAATGTAATCCCACGCACGATATACGGGTGTCTACCTCCCTCATCATCTTGCATTGCCAGCATGGAATTGCATTTGGAGGTAATACTAGTCGTGAACAAGTTGTGTAATTGCCGCCACGGTGGAGACGCGACAGGATTAGAAGAGCTTGACGTCCTTCTTCTTGGCCTGCTGCTTCCACTTGGGCATCGCATGGAACTCGGCGACCGTCATACCAAACACCTTTTGAAAGTCGGGGCTGCTCAAATAGTTTTCCTTGAGCGTAATGTCGATGCCCTCGACGCCCGCGAGCAGCTGCTCGTACGTGAACGTCTGGCCCGGTGCGGCGACGACCGCCGGCGCGGCCGGCGGCACGACCTTGGCAACAACCGGCACTTCGACCTCGACCTTGGCCTTCTCGGCGCGCATCTTCTGGAGCTTGGCCTCATACGGGTCGACGAACGCAGGCTGCTCGAAGAAGCTCGCGTCCCAGCCGGCAAAGTGGCACGTGAAGATCGCGGGCTCCTTCCCCGACGCGACCGTGATGATGGGCGTGTCGTTGCCGCGGCCGTCGCTCTTGGCCGCGCCGAGGTAGTCCTGCGCCATCTTGGCCGCGCCGCGCTTCTCGGCCTCGTTGGCCCCTTCGCCGATCCAGAGGAAGAGCGTCGTGTACACGTCGAGGAGGTAGACGTCGTCGATGTTGAGGTCGTCCTGCGCGAACGCGACGACCTCGGTCGCGTCAAAGAAGCCCGTCATGTTGGTGCAGTGGAAGAGACGCGGCTCGTGCTGCGCTTCGATCCCGACCTTCTCGGACGGGTACGGGCCCTCGCCACCGAGAAAGCCCCAGAACGACGCGTCTTCGCTGCCTTCCGGCACGACCGAGACGCTGCGGTTGCGGCGCAAGATGGATGCAATGCTGCTCGCGACCGACTGCTCTTCCGCGTTGGAGCCGCGGCCTTGCCACTCGAACACGACACGCGGCGTCACGAGCACGTAGCAGTCGCCCGAGTTGAGGCTCGAAGCGACCTCGTCGACCTGCGTCGCAAACGTGTTGAGCTCCGTCGAGCCCTTGACGTGGTAGAGCGAGACGCCGTCCGTGTCGTACGAGTCTTCGTCGTCGCGGTTCTTGAAGCCCGAGGCTTTGCCGCCGGCGTGCACGATGAGCTTGCCGAGGAAGAGGCGGCGAAAGTGCGCGGGCTCCTTGCCCTGCGTCACGCGCACCTGAACGGGCGACCCGCCCATCTCGTCGTCGAGACGCTGCGCCCAGAGCGCCGACGCCGCCTTCTCGTCCTGCGACGACATGCGGCCCTGCCAGTAGTAGATGACGTGCGCGGGCTTGCCGTTCACCGGCGTAAACGTCTGCAGCACGACGTAGCTATCGCCGCCGTAAAACTGGCCGTACGTCTCGGGCGACACCTCGACCTTCTCCATGTCCTCAATGCGCCACACCTTGACCGTGCTCGACCCGTCCTGGCCCGCAAACATGTCGTCGTCTTCGGTCGCCGACGCAGCGTACAAGCTCGCAGCGTTGACGCCAGCATGGGCCGGCGACACGGGCGCCTTGGCCTCGACCGCGCCAAACGCAATCGTGCGCGGCGGGTCCCACGCGCAGAAGAGCGCCTTGAACGCCGCGCCCTCGGCACCGTCGGCGACGCGCGAGATGGGCGTGTGCGACGCGCGCTTGGTCTGCGCCAGGTACTTGGTCGCGTAGAGCATACCGTTCTTGCGCTCTTCCGCCGACGCGCCCTTGCCGATCCAGACGTGGAGCGCGTTGCCGCCGTCGACGATAAAGACGTCGTCCGAGCTCAGGAGCGCCTTGGTGAGAATGCCGTCGACCGGCGTCACATCGGTCGTCTTCAAGTCGGACGACGCGTCGCTGAGCTGGATGAGCTTGATCGATTCGCGCTGCGCCTTCTCGGCCGCCTCGTCGCTCGGGCCTTCCTTCGTGACGTTCAAGTAGCCGCCGAGCGTCTTCCAGAACGTCGCGTTCTTGGGCTCGTCGTCGAGGAACGTGATCGACGCGCGGCCGCCGCGCTCGTTGTTGTTGAGCTGGCGCACAAAGTCAAGCGCCTTGGCCTTCTCCTGGCGGTTGGCCGTCGCGCCGTTAAACTATCGCAAGCATACTGAGACGCCTGTCACGAAGAAGAGGTGGATCGTACGACAAAGAGCTCGAGGCCCATGTCGAGGACGTAGACGTCGTCGGTCGTCAGCGACGTCGCCTTGGCCGGGACCTCGTTGACGCGCACCGTGCGCTTGCCCTTGACCTGGAAGAGCTTGGTGTCGTACTGGTCACGCACGACGGTCTTGAAGCCGCTCTCGACGCCGCCCGCGAGGTACTCGATGCCAGTCGCCTTGAAGTACGAGAGGAAGAGGTCGCTCTCGTGGCCTTGGCACTCGCGGTACTGGATCGGGCCGCCGCCGAGCGCCTCGTCGAGCTCGACCGTCTTGTAGGCCGCGACGCCGCTCTCGTCCTGCGACGTGTCCTTGCCGAGCCAGAAGTGAATGTTCCACGTCAGCGCCGAGCCCTTCTGGACCGTCTGGAGGAAGATGTAGCTGTCACCCGAGTGGAGCTTGTGCAGATCCTTCTTCACGGGCACCGGTACCATCTTCTCGATGCGCCATGCCACAAGGCCCGGGCGCTGGCCCGCTCCGACAAACGCTTGCTCCGCCATCGTCTTCTTCTGTAGCTTGCTGCTGCTTGGACCGCAGATTGCAAAATGACTCGAAAGCCATGTGGCGCCGCCCGACCAAGCCATCGATTCTGAGAGGTTTTTCAGGTATGACGTGGCACGCGACACGCACGCATGCCACATGCAAAGTGGCAATATATCCATTGATAGAGGTTGTAACTTGCACCACCACGCTGAGCCCTACCCCGCCTTTGGATACGCCACAACAAACCAGCGACAGCAGCCGGCACCCACATCGTGCGTCGAAGCGCGCAGAAGAGCCCTGTAGACTTGACCCGCAGTCGTAAGTGCAACGGCAATATCGAAGTGCAACGGCTATCGTAAAGTGCAATGTGAGCAAATACTGTGATCCGAAGGATGGCACGGAAGTCCTTCGTGGTACAATCGCATTAAAAGTAGCTTGACCTGAGTGCACTATATACATGTATATTGGTGGCCTTACTGAGGCAGGAAGAGTACAGGGCGGCTAAAACTCGGCGAATGGGTCTTTTCCGTTGTAGACAGGCACGGGCGCCTCCTCGTTCGAGTCCGGGTACGGGTCAAAGTTGGACGTGTCGTTGGGCGTGACGACCTTGGGGATGATGGGCGCCGTGCCTTTCCTTGCGAGCATCGCGTCCCAGTCGACGCCCGAGAAGAACTTGTGCTTCTTAATGTCTTCGACGCCGTTCTTGAGGCACCCGTAGCGCTTTGTGAGGTCGGCCGTCAAAAGACGCTTGATGAGCGCCTTGGCGTTCCGGTCAAAGTAGCGCGGAAAGTTGATCTTCCCCGACAGAATCTGCTGGTAGATGCCCATTGGATCGTCGTCGCAGAACGGCGGCTGACCAGCAAGCATCTCGTAGATGAGGATGCCCATCGTCCACCAGTCGACGCCCTTGCCGTGGCCCTTGTTCAGGAGCACTTCAGGCGCAATGTACTCGGGCGTCCCGCACAGCGTATACGTCTTGAACGCCACGCGCTTGGCAAAGCCGAAGTCCGTGATCTTGAGAAACCCTTCGTGGTCCAAAAGGAGGTTCTCAGGCTTGAGGTCGCGGTAGATAAAGTCCTGGCTGTGGAGGTACTCGAAGATCGACACGACCTGTGTCGCGTAGAACTTGGTCGTGTTAAAGTCGAAGCGCCCGGCTTTCCGAAGGTGCGTAAAGAACTCGCCGCCAATGACGTACTCGAGCACCATGTACAAGCACTTGGCGTCCTGGAACGTGCCCGCGAGGTTCACGATGAACGGATGGTCCAAGCACATGAGAATCGTCTTTTCCGAGATCATGTGCTCGACCTACATGGCTTCGTTAGCCGTCAACCTTTTGCGCATATATGTACTTGCTGCAGCCGGATGATCTCGGCCTTCTTGAGGATCTTGATGGCCCAGAACGAGCCCGTGGCCTACGCGGCGAAATCGTCCTCGCGTGCTTTCGGCCATGCGCTTACCTTGTGCGTCGCAAAGCGCACACGGCCAAACGACCCGGTGCCCAAGGTCACGCCGAAGTCAAAGTGGGCAATGTCGAGCGGGCCAGGGAGCTTGTTGCTGGGCTTGGTCGTCGTTCCTTCGGGCGTCGCCATGAGCCAGCGGCCTGCTGTCGTCGACCTCGGCCGATACGAAAACTGGCTCCGAACGCGACAGCGTCGGGAGCCAAGGGTCGCTGCCAAAAACGGCAGAAAAAAAGGATCGAAGATTAGCTTGCGCCAAACGACGCGTAGCGACACCAAAAACGGGTATGCATGTCAAAAAGGGAGGTGCACGAGCTCTCACAGATTCTGTTTTTATGCGCATGCGCTGTTCCGAGACGACCTGGGCCACCTTATCGGATGCTTGTACACAAAAGAGATCAGGTACACACGGTAGCAATGCCCGCGCGCTCCGACAGCACGGTGGCGTGTACCCTTTTTGACATGCGCCGCTGCAAGATCGCATGTTCGCATACGGTATCCGGAAAATCGAAGCTCAAGATACCGTTTTGGTCGCGAAGAGGTCGCGTGCGCTGGCTTGGGCCACCAGAGGACAAGAGGACGATGCAAGAGAGAGGTAGTGCTGAAGCTCGTAATGGAGTGATTTGTGATGCACTGCGGCGGCGGCTCTCATTTTCGAAATTCGACTCTATTTTAGGAAAGGTCGAATATCCGAAGTTCGAAGATTTTGAATACGTGGCGGCGAGCTGTGGCGGCGATGGACGACGAGCTGATGGACGACGATGTCCTCTTCGATGCGATGGACTCGCGCATGCATGCGATGCCAGAGATAGACAAGCCGATGCGTATCGAGCAGCCCAAGGCTGAGACGTATGCGCCAGCTTCGAATGGGCCGGACATCAAGGACGGCGTGTACATGGAGCAGATCCTGAATTTGACCCACCAAGTCGGCCAGTTGAAAGCATCCGCGGCCGAGTTTACCGCTGCACGCGTGCAAAGCGCCGCAGAACTGTCCACGTACGTATCACCTTGTCGCGTCGTGGGCGCTCATGCTAGCGTAGGCTGCGGCAGCAACTGGACCGACAAGAGTCGGCCTCCAAGCACCTCAAGCAAATGCTAAAAAACATCAGCGACAAGTACACCGCGCTGCAAATCGAGCACAAGAGCACAAAGGAGCTTGCGGACGAGCATCGATTGCATCTAACGTCGGCCCAAGAGCGCGTGATCGCACTCGAAGCTCACGTGGAAGCACACGACGCCCAGCGCGAGCAGTGGGCCCAGCTCCAGATCGCGCACGAAGCTTTGCGCCTCGAGCTCTTGCAGGTGACATCGGAGCGCGATGCGTGGCAGAGCCAGGTGCAGCATTTCGAAGGCGTCGAAGCCGCCAACGAACAACTGCGCAGCGACGCCGCCACTATTGCGCTCGAGCACGAGTTGGCGCGGAAGCGGTCGCACCACATCATCAAGGAGCTGCGCAAGTCGCTCGCTGAAGAGCGGGCCCGCCCGCCGCCGTCGCCCGTCGTCATCTCGACGCCGCTGGCCGTGAAGTGCATTTACGTGGCCGAACCCATCGATAGCGCGGCGGACGTGGTCTCGGAGTTTGCGCTGCGCATCGAGGGCCTTCTGCAGGCGAACGCGCTCTTGTCCGAGCGGCTTCGGTTCTCCGAGGAAAACACGCGGCTTCTCGCGACCGACTTGGAGAAGAAGCGGCTGCTGCTGAGCCACCTCACGCACAATGCCATGACGGTACAGGCCGCGATATCATCGTTACGACTTGGAGGTCGACACTGTAGGAGGACGTGGACGAGATGTATGTGCTGGCCAAGGCGATGCACAGCGAGCGCCTCGAGACGGCCAATACGCTTCTGCAGGCGTTGCTACGCGAGAACGCAGCTCTCAAGGTACCATCGGTCCATCGTTCCTGTGCCGATGCGCGCTAGGCACGGGCGCCTCTGGCGCCACTGGCGCTGTCCGAAGCGCCTGCTCCACCAACGCACTACCGTGCCATGTAGATGGCATATTGCCTCAAATGTACAAGACGTGTGTGAATTCATTCAATGCGCTTAAAGGTCCCGGAGCTTGGCCTCGATGAGTTCCGTGAGCTCGCGCACTTGGTCCTTGAGCTGCTCAATGTCCGAGTCGTTGGCAACATCGCGGTTCTTGGGGATCCACGACATCTCCTTGGCCTGCACCTTTTGGTACACGAACGACTCGGTGCCGTTCATGTCTGTCGTCGGCTTGCCCTTGAGGTACATGATGAAGAAGAAGTAGTGCCACAGGTTGTGCTCTTCGTTCGTATGGCGCGCAAAATTGTCGCGGAGGCCGAGGCGGATGCCTGCGTACTCAATGTCGTCCTTGGACGTGTTGCAGACGAGGCACGAGTTCATGGCCGTCCGGTCCTTCTCCTCGGCGGCCTCACGCAGCGCGCCGAACGCGTCGATGATGATACCCATGATGACGTTCATGAGGAAGAGCAGCACGATAATGAAGAAGAAGAGGTCGTAGACGACGCGGAAGAAAAACTTGACCGGCTCCGTGTAGTCGAGCGGGTGGTCGATCGACCCGGACATGTAGTCGCCAATGCCGCCGCCGCTCAGCAGCCCTACCCTCAGCATCACCATAATGAGTCGACCTCGACGTAGATGCGTACCGTAGTGAATGTACACAAAGAAGCACTGCATCATGGACGAGCACTGCGCGTTCGCGTCGCCTTCCATCATCTCCGCTTGGAAGAAGAAGAACCCGATGAGCGAGAAGACGTAAATGACGATCGCGCCAAAGGCCATCGTCATGCCAAGCGGCGCCAAGTTGAACGTGACGGCCTTGAGCTACGCACCGCGGATATGAGACAACCCTCTCCAATGACGGCTGTACAATGTTGGCGAGGCGGGCGTTCGTGCCGAGGAGGTCGAGCAGCGGGACGCCGTAAAAGAGATACCCGTACGAGAGGCACGACCGGGCGAGGCCCACGTACGCACACAGCGTGTAGATGGTGAAGATGACGACGACGTCCGAGACGAGCGTGTCGAAGATGACGTTGTACCAGAAGAGAAGATGCGCGCACTCGAGCTTCTTGTTGACCGCGTGGTCCTCGACGATGTACATGAAATGCAACGTGCCGCTAATGTGTCGGAGGCACCGGAAGCACGAGTAGATAAAGAAGAGGAGCGCGAGGACGGCGTTGATCTGCGTCACGACGTCGTCGGTGCCAAAAACGAGGATGATGACGATGAAAACGCCTGCGAGCACCGCTACATCGCACCCGTTGTGAGCGCGTGACAGAGCAGCGTCGAGTCGTACCGAACACAAAGAGCAGATCCAGAATCGCCGTCACAATGTGTTGCTTGACGTCGGCCCACTGCAGCATGTACAGCTTCATCGGCTCGATCTGCTGCTTGGCCATGTGGAACGACATGCTCGTCGCAATGTGGAAGAGCCAAAGCGACGTGCAAATGAGCGCGAAAATCACGCCAAACGCGTAAAAGACCGCTTGGACCTACTCCATGGCAATGAGTCGACGGCCGGAGATTTGCATGCAGTAATACGTTGGCTTCCATGGACGGCAGCATCGTCTCGTTGTCCATCTCCATGCCGAGCACGAGGATAAAGTTGAGGAAGAGACACAAAATGAACATCCACCGACGGAGCGCGAGGCTGTGCCCGGCCATCCACGCGTACAAGCGCGAGTTGGCGAGCGCGTGCCGCGTCTTGAGCTCCTCGTCGATCGTCCTACAAGACAATCGTTCAATGTTTGCATTCGACACATCGCCATCGTGAGTGATGGATAATATGGTACCGTGCCGCCTTGGACGTAAAGACCGAGAGCGCGTTCTCCGTGCCCATCTCCATGGCGTCCAGCAGCCGCTTCTGCTCTGGCCGCTGGAGGTACTTGGCTTCGGGCGGCTTGGGAAAGTACACGGCCACGTTGGCGTCGCCTCGCACGATCTGGATCGAGATGGTTTGGCCCGCGAAATAGTCGACGTCGCTGTTTTCGAGGTCCTTCCACTGCTTGGCGAACGCTGCGAGTGCCACGTCATTGCACGCCAAGAGCGCATACGCGACGCGGAGGAGCTCGATCGACGCTTCAAAGACCGCATGGCTCAAGCGCGCATCGGCCGCGAACGTCTTGAGCAGCTGTCGATTGTGCGAGAGCACGGCAGCGACGTCGTCGGGCGAGAGCAAGCGCGCGAGCGAAATGTGCACAAGGGCGTCGCTGCGGCACTCGGTCATGGCCAAAAGCACTTCGCTCGCGTTCTTGCGCAGCTTGGCGGCGGCGACGCGGTCCGCGGCCGGCACGTCGCGCGTGTCAAGCACGAGCAGCGCACACCATTTCGGCACGACGCTCTCGGTCAAGATGGCTTGGTTCTCCAAGCAAGGGCCTTGGCACGCCTCGCTGAGGAACGCAAACACTTTCGAGAGCACCTTCATGTCATTGGGTTCGAAGCGGAGCCCGCGGCTGCAAATCGCGCTAAGGAGCTCGATCGCACTGTCGAGAAAGCTCTGCGGCGGCCGAATCGACGTCGACCGCATGAGCGCCTGCCAGTCGTGGTGGTGGTTCTCGCAAAGCAGTTGGAGCAGCGTCAGCGCGGAGATCGCGCCTTCGAGGACCACGTCGTGGTGCGTGTGGGCGGTCACTGCGTGCGTCTGCGCCTCGACGTGCTGCATGAGAAAGGTCGCGACCGTTAGCTGCTGCTCGGGCGAGCTCGCGTCCAGCGAGGCATACAAAGCGTCTTGCGCAGCGTCGTACCCATCGGCGAGGAACTCGGCGAGCAGCTCGAGCGTCATCGCACTCAGCACGGGGTTGGTCGCATCGCGCATCGCGCGCTGGATGCAGGTGAGGACGACCTTGGCGACGTCGACCTTGACGGCCACCGTGAGCGTCTTGCGCCAGATCGCACTGGCTTGCAAGAGCACTTTCTCGTCCGGCTCGTCCTCGGACGTGGCTTTGAGCCGCTTGGCCCGCAGTGCGTGCACGAGGAACCCGAGCGCCAGCGTCCAGGACGGCGTCTCCTGCAAGACGAGCTGCGCGAGCGCCTGCAGCAGCGCGGTCGCATCCACCATGCTCGTGAGCGTTTGCTTCCACGACGTCGCGACTTGGTCGAGGTCCAGCACGATCGGCGCCACGTGCAAGGACGACGGCTGGCGCGCCACGTCAATCGACCGGTACTTTTCACCGTGGAACGTGCGGGTTGAGAGCCACTTGCGTCGACCGGACAAGAGCCCGCCGACGTCGCCGCTCGTGAGCGTCGTCGGCGTCTTGTGCGCCTTGGGCTTGACGTTCCAGTCCTGCTTGGAGAGCACGATGGCGAGGAGGTCGTGCGTGGTCGGCGCCACGGCCTTGGGCTCGCAACGGAGCAGAAACTCGGCCACGTGGACGACGTGCGCGACCTCGTCTTCGTTCGAGACAAAGTGAGCGATGCGTCCGTGTGCGTGGACTACCGACGGCTCGAGCAGCGGCAGCTGCTCCTTCAGAATCGGCGCCATGCACTCGACGACGGTCTGGCGCACAAACTCGCGGAAATGGCCTTGGCAAAGCCCCGCGCACTTCTCGAGGCCGGGCTTTTGCAAATCGCGCGCGACGCGGCGCTGCGCCCAGACGAGCGCGGCCATGTGCGGGCACAGATCCGGTCGCTGGAGCCGCGCGACCATCTCCTCGAGCGTGACCGTCGTGTGCACGCACGTGAAGCGCGCGTGGTCCTGGATAAGCGTCTCCAGAAGGTCGTGGACAGCAGTCAAGAGCGGCGTGACCGACGCGCCGTGAAAGTCCAGCACGAGCGGCTGCTTGCGTGTCTCGAGGAGCGCGTACCAGCCGCGGAGCCAGGGCAGGATCCCTTCCAGCACGATGAGCTCGTTCTTGGGAGAGAGGTCCCGGAGCAAGCTGTGGCAGCGCTGGAAGACGAGCTCGAGCGACGGCAAGGACGACGCCGGCAGCTGCACGACGCCGACCGTGCTCTCAAAGTAGAGACACGCCATGAGCAGCAACGACACTCGCTTGAGTTGAAGCGTCGACCGCTTCTGCAGAAAGAGCTCGAGGAGCCACGGCAGCGAGAAGATGCTCTTGCTCTCGAGGTGGCCAAACATGCTTTCGTGCGTCTTGCCATCCGCCACCATCGCGAGGAGCTCGAGCAAGTTGCAGTAGATCGAGAGCTTGGCTTCCGGCAGCGGTCCACTGCTCGCGGGCCGCGACGACGGCGACGCCAACGCCTCGGGCTCGTCCGCATCGACAAGCGCCAGCGTCTGCTTGATGTCCAGGTCCGAGTGGAAGAGGTAGAGGTTGATGTCATGCTTCCACTCGGCGCGGGGGGCAATGTTGATGAGCCGGAGCACGACGCGGCCGGCCATCTCGCTCGTCTGCAGATGCTCGAGCAGGATTTGAAAGAGCTAGCAGAAGATTTCAATATGGCCCAATACGGAGCGTGTACCGTTGTAAAGCGCGAGTCCACCGGCACGTACGGCGTCGTGCCATGGAGCATCTCGAGCACGATGCTGCCGACGCTGTCGACGAACGTTGCATTTGCCTGCACGAGGCGCCCGAGGATCGCCAGCAGCTCCATCTTGGTGTCGTCCAAGAGTGCTTGCGGGTGGCGCAGCATGGCCTTGAGCACCTGCAGCAGCGACTTGGCAAACTTGATGCGGTCGCGGACGCACTGCTCCTTGAACTGGCGGTACGGGTAGAACGCTTGGTTGGGGCAAAAGTAGTTTTGCTCGACGTTGAGCGTCTCGTAGTCGGGCACCGTGAACGCGTGCTTGCTCAAGGAGGTCGTCAAGTAGGTGAGGATGCGCTTCGGCACATGCGCGAGCAAGAGCAAGTCGACGAGCGACGCGTCTTTGCCCCACTTGTCGCTGACGCGGCACGCTTGCAGCACCGGCGAGAGCGCACTCATGTCCTTGCGCTTCCCGCTCGCCTTGTGGAAGGATTTCTTCGCGTCTTCCTTCGAGAACGTAAAGCGCATCTCGTGCGCGTCCGCGTCCAGAATCGCATTCGCGTCCTTGAGCACGTCGCGGAGCTTCTCGTAGTCGGCGTTGACCCGCTTGAGCTTCATGCAGATCGCATAGTCCGTGCGCATCCACGC